GCCCTCCTCCGGCGCAGCAGCGTCCCCGAGGAGGGCGTCCATCTGAGGCAGAGGGCAGGCGCTGGGCTGGGCCTGGCGGTTCAGAGGCCAGGAGGCCACCCCGAGTCCGGCCCGCCTCCTGCCATCTCCGAAGTCCGCTCGGGATTGAGGTCAGACGCAGGCAGTGCATGGGGGACAGACCCTGTAGTGGGGCACAGCAGCCCGCCTTCCAGGGACATCTGGAGGGTCGGCCGCGCGGGGAGTCCTGACACGGAGGGCCAAGGAAAGCACGCCCGGAAGGGCCCCGCAGGTCAGCTCGGCAGCTGGGTCCCCATACTCTGGGCCTCAGCCACCACCGAAGGCGGCAGGGTGCAGGAAATGAGGACAAAGACCACTAGCAGCATCTTGTTTATTGGGCAATTCCAGGTCCTCTCTCCTGCTAGGACACAGCCCGCGTTGCTCAGGTTCGCGCACTTCTGTGGTTGGGAGGAAAGGGCGGGCGTGGGCGACGGCACACATGCAGGGCACGTGCACAAACCGTCTCTCCGAGGCCGAAGTGGGGTGAAGACAATCTGGCACCCCGGCTACCTTCTCGTTCCCCAGGTGCGGTGCACTGTGGTGACAGACACCAAGGGTGAACAGTAGCCGGGGAACATTCAGGAGGGCCAGGCTGGGGCTCAGTAGAAGCACACGGTGTGCAGGAAGGCCCGGCCACTCTTCTCCTCGAACTCCTGCAGCAGCTCGTCGATCTCGTTCTCCATGTCCTCAGTGTGCTGGATCTGTGGGGAGCACATCCTGAGCGCCCCTCAGCAGACGCAGTCCCTCCCTGCTCGGCCCTGCCCTGGCCTCCACAGAGCCCTGCAGAACCCCAAAGCCAAGGCCTGTGGGGCTGGCTCCGGAGCAAAGGCACCTGGTAAGCAGGTTCTCAGAATCCTCTCTACGTTTTGGAAGGGCGCTCGAGGAGGGCCTGTGCATGGCAGTGTCCAGCAGCACACCTGCCCCCCCCCCAGCCAGGTCTTAAGAAGCACAATGCCGGGGGGCTCTTGTCGGCAACTCCTCCCACAGAGGGGCAGACAGGCTTCTGATCACACCTGCCCCACGGTTCCCACCCTTGGCTGGCATGGGCCCTCTGAGCAAGGAAGCCCCTTTGTGACACAGCTCTGGTCAGATCTAGGACACAACTGTTGAAAACTCAGCAGCCACACCGGATCGTGAGGCTTACAGGCAACCAAAGCTTGGCTGGGTTGGGCTGGTTAGGGCAAGAAGTTTGGAACCTGGGTCCCACACAGCACCAGCCCAGGCCTACTCATCAGTGGCCCCCTCTTGTCTAAACCAGGTCCCACACTACTCTGTCATGCTCAGGCAGCTGACCTGAACAGATCCCAAGGTCACAGGACAGAATGTGGCATGGTGGCCACACAGCCCCTGGGGAAGCAGAGAAGGCCCCAAGCCATAGGGAGGTCACTGTCTGGATGGCAGAGGACATGGGCCACACACATGCAGAGAAGGACACCAAGTCCCCCTCAGGGCGTACATCTGACCCTGTCTCAGCATGGGCTGCCACCTACTCTGCTCGCTGTGACTGGGGCTGCAGGTCCCCCTCGGGAGGACCAGAGTCTTAGTGGACAAACAGGGCCGCCCTCACGTACCCTCTACCAGATGAACGCAAGTGCCAGGTGGTTCTTGAGCCAAAGCTACTTGGCTGGTCCCTAAATGTGTGCACAGCACTGCACGCAACTTTCAGCTTCTGCTGTATAGGTGGGAGTAGCCTCAGCCTGTCCCCATCCAGACACCCCAGTACTCACACACTGGCAGAGCTCGCAGATGAGGAAGGCCCCCAGGGTGGCCTCCTCGTGGTTGTCCTGAATGTCCACATTGACCACGTGCACTGGCTGGCAAGTCTCCTGTTCCCTGGAGTTCAGATCTGATTGGGACAAAGTGACAAACACATTAATGGCTCTAGAACAAGGCAGCAAGAGTACCACATGTGGTCCCACCTGCCCCTGGCTGGGCTCAGCTGTTGCTGGACTTGGGTTTGGGAACACAAGTGAGAGCTGCACATGTGACCAGGCTAGGGACTTCCTGAGGAGCCACCTGCATGACAACAGCTGAACTTAAGGCCTTGGTGGATATCCGGCTCAAGGTAAGGCCACCCTTATTGTCCAGCCCTTTCTGGGCTGAGGCCCACATAGTAACAGTAGCACTTGTACCTGTGGCACAGAACTCACCACACTCAGCCCCAACAGAGGGCAGAGCTAGAGCCCATGGAAGCCGCCATGCTGACTTTGTGCTGTCTACATCTTCAGCAAAAAGGCCACAGTGCCCTGCCTGCCCACCTCCCAGGGGCTTTGCTCACCATATGGGACCCCAGCACCAGAGGGCTGTACAGGTCCGGATAGGCCTCTGTCCTTGTGCTGCTGTCTGGTGCCCATGGGAACCAAGAGCCCTCCCCATCCCTGGCTGACAGACAACTTCCTGCCCTTCCTGAGCATAGCTGCATGAGGCTCACCTTCCACCACCTGGTCATAGACCCTCTCTTCACAGGTCAGGATGAGGTCAAACAGGTCCTTGCAGTTCTGGAACCTTTCTGGCCGAGGCTTGATTCTCTTATTTCTGTCCAACATATGCAAAATTCCATTCTGTGTATAGCTGAGTGCCCGAGTTAAGGAGCTTTAGATAGCAGCTTTTTTTCATTAACCCAGAAGTGCTGCGTGGTTCCCACCCAGCTCCCTTCCCTTTGTGCCCCTGCAGGTTGGCCCCAGGACACACAGAAAAGGTGCTGGTTCCCAGTTACCCGTGACCCATGAGAAGACTGGAGCCCTCATGGAGGAGGCAGAGACCCAGGCAGACCTCCACTGCTCCACTGTGCCGACCTTTGGTGGCCACAGTCACGTCCAAGGGCAGTCATGTCCAAGTCTTCAGCACAAAGCTACCTGGCAACCAAGTCCCAAGGCAGCCCACCAAAGAGCACAAAAATCTCTGGAAAACCCACTACTTTCCAAAAGGGAACTCCAGGAACAGGAAGGCCTGGAAAACCCCTGCAGCATAAAAATCAAGACAGGGCCCTGGAGGGAGAAGCTGCATCCAGCTGAAAAGGGCCTGAAAAAGTGTGACAAGGACAGCGGCAAGGCATCTGGCTGAGCACTGCCTGTAGGCAGCATGAGTACTGCGAGTCTCCATGGACAAGCAGGGGGCCACACCCTGTGGTGCAGAGCTGGCACACTTCCCCAGAGGACCAGAGAGGGACCTGGAACACCCCAGGGCCTAAGGGCTCATATGAGTCTCTCCTAGCATTTGGAGCCAAGCATCTTGTTGACCCTATTTTAGGAAAATGACCAGCTACTCTGGAACTGTTGTGTCTGGGTGCTGGGGATCAGAAATGGAGCTACACCGTCACATTTAGGAACTGTGACTTTTTCCCCCAAAACACTGGGATCAAATCCAAGGATATTCCACAGAGTAAATCCCTAGCCCATTTTATTACATTTTTTTGGGGGACTGGCTTTTTGAGATGAGGTCTATGTAGTTCAGACTGGCCATGTAGGCCAGAGTAGCCTTAAATTCAGCCATCCTCCTGCCTCAGCCTCCCAGCCCCTGAGGTTATAGGCATACACCACCACGCCCAACTAGTTTTGGCTTTTTGAGAGGTCTCACTGTATAGACCAGGCTGACTTCAAACACAAATCCTCAGCCTCCCAAGCAGTTGGGATGGCAGATGTGCCCAATATACCCAGTTCCCAGGTGGTCCTGGACAAAGCCAACAGGCAGAGGGCCTAAGACACTTCATGTACTGCCTCCTGCTCAGGAACCCAGGGGCAGTGGCTACAGCGAGGCAACCAGGTACCAGCAGATACCAGCTGGGGTCTCTGCTCAAATGCGGGGTCCCCATTGTGACCAGCAACACTATATAAGAAGGGCCCATATCCATTTCAGTACCTCTACTGTGTCAGGCACACTAGGGGTGCCTGTCACAGCCCCTAGATTGTAAGCAGCACCAGGACGGGCACCTGCCTGGCAGTGACTGTGGCCACTCTGGACCCATGTCTGTTCCTGACCACTGTGTCTTCTTGAAGATTAAGCTGAAGTAATTGGACTACAAAATAGTTTTTGTTGTTTACAAATATAAAAGCATCACAATACACTGTCAGATTAAAATTTAAAAAAGACAGGAGGTTCACCTGAGATCAAGGCCAGACTGGAATCAGTAAGACTTGGAGAGAACTGTAGTTCAGTGGCAGAGAAACTGCCCAAGAGACACAGGCCCCAGGTTTGATCCCCAGCACCATGAGAAAGGGGAAAGAAAAAAAGTGGTGGAAAATATTCCATCTCTCATCTGTGTTTTCTCAAATATGACACCCTCTAACCCCTGTTTTTGGCTAGCATCATAAAACATGCCAGGCTTCAAAACAAAACACAAAAAAGGAAGTTGACCCTGGCTAAGATAATCATAGTAAAAGCCAGCTGTTTATAAACCCTCCTGGATAAGGAGTTGGTCTTGACACCAAATCACAAATGGGCTCTGACCTGGATCAACACCACTGTCATAACAGGAGGCTGCATGGCTGCAGGCCATGCCAAGGCAAGGAATCCTGCTGCCAGCAGAGCGGTGGCCTGCAGGTCTGTGGGTTCGGACCAGGCCCTTGGGGGACACCATGGGGCCAGGAAATCTAGGACACAGATTGTTTTCCTCTCCTAGGAGACTAGTTATTTCATGATTTAAAGATAAAGGGGATCTTGCTGAGCATGGTGGCGCATGCCTGTAATCCCAGGACTCAGGAGGCTGAGGCAGGAGGACTGCTGTGAGTTCGAGACTAGACTGGGCTACATAGTGAGTTCCAGGACAATCTCAACTACATAGTGAGACCCTGTCTCAAAATAAAAATAAAGATAAAGATAAAAGGGATCCTACCAAAAAGTTTCCAGAGGTAACCGCAAAAATTTTAAAAACCACAAAGCACCTACAGGACAGAGGGCCAGACATAGCGCAGACTGAGCAGGCAGGCAGAAGCCCTCCCACTGCCCCTCTGCTTTCTAAAGGGTCTCACCAAGCAGGGATGTCTCCAGGACTAGTGGCCACTCAGACCAGTCCCAAGGGGCTCATCTAGGGAGCACTGGGGCAGAGGCAGCCAGGGATAGGCCAAGTCTGGAAGTCCTCAGATGGCCAAAGTCCTTAAGGAAAACAAGTCTAGAAGGCTAAGCATGGTGGCTCTGACATAAAACTCCAGCAGGATGAGAAAGGAGGGTCCCAAGTTTTGAGTTCAGACTTGGGGAGACCATTTCACAAAAACATGGGGTGGGGGGTGGGGTGGCAGCTAAGGATGTAGCTCAGTGTTAAAAGTCTCCTCCAACCCAGAACTAGCTGGTGCAGATGCTAAACTGAGATAAGCCTCAGTGAGGCCAAACTGAGGAGGCACAGGGGAGTGCGGAGCAAGGTGGCTGCCACCCCGGTAAGCTCCCCTCCAGACTTTGGCACCAGGCAGTGCCAAGAATGCTGACAGCTCAGGCACCTCTGAATGTACCCACACCTCCGCAGCAGGGCACTTCATGTGGGGGACAAGTGGCCTCAACACACACAGGACAGGGCATGGTGCTTCTTGGGGTGTCCCTGCAGATACCCAAGACACCCAGGAGTCCTTGTTTCAGAGGACGGTGAGTTGGCAGCGCCCACAGGACACAGGCAGGACCTGAGGCCATACTGCAGCCCTCAAGAGGGCTGTGGGCTCACCTAGAAGAGGGCTATGGTGACCACTACAAGATGATGCAGCTGGCCAAGCCACAGGGACAGGCCATGCTGGCCAAAGGCAGTAGGGCCATATCTGGTCATTTGGACACCAAGCAGCCACCCCAGCAAGGAGGTCCCATCCCAACTGCTCTCCCAGTCCTCCCTGGCTACCAGAGCACCTGACAGTGTCCATGTGACCTCCTCCAGGTCAGACTCTGGCTGGCACCGCACCGCTTCCTCAGGAGGGCTAAATGGAGCTGGCCTTCCAGGAGGGGATAAGGCAGTGACAAAGGCTGGCCATCTACCCCCAACAAGTGCCCTGAGATAAGGCCTCCTGCCACACTGCTGGTTTTACCTTCCCATGATGAGTGGACGGAGATGCAGGAGACATTGGACCTCAAAACACTGTCCTGGGCTTGCACTGCCAGTGACCAGAAAGCTCAGGTGCCAAGGTCAGCCCTGAAAGTGATGCCAGTGCTTCCGGTGACTGATGCCTGTGGTGTGAGGGATGTCAGTGGTGGCAACAGTGGCCCCGTGACATTCCCAGGCTCCAGCAGTGGGACCAGCCAGAGAGGGGAGAGGCCAGCACTGTGGGACTAGGCGGGCTGGGGCTGTCTTAATGGTTGAATCCTGGCCTTCACACTAAGCTACATTCCCTGCCCTTTTTAAATTTTGAGACAGGGTCTCACTAAGTCAGTTAGGTTAGGTTTTTTCTTTTTCTTTTTTTTTTTTTTTGAGACAAGTCTCACTGTGCACACCAGGCTGGCTACAAATTTGCAGTGATCCTCCTGACTCAGCCTCCCAAGTGCTGAGATTACAGGCATGTGCCATGATGCCCTCTGACCAGTGGTATCTTAGCATCGCTATGCAAAGAGCTTTAAGTTCAATCAAGCTGGGGAGACTAGCTGCAGTATGCAATACCAAGTTTCTAGGTTGTGGCTTCCAAGTCACTGTACCAAGAAACAAATTTAAGCTGGTGCAATTGTGCACACCTGTAACTCCAGAGCTCTGGAAGCCTGGGACAGGAGAACCACAAATTCAAACACAGCTTGGGCAAAGGTGTAGGGAAAGTGGGAAGGGTGGGGGAAAGGTAATAAGGGAGAAGAAAAAAATATGAGAAACTGAAAAAATGGAAATAAAGTGTTTGTAAATGGGGAGGGGGGGTGAAGGGAGGGCAGGGACAAGGGGAAAAAATGAGAATCAAGACCTATTATATAAAGGTACAGAATCCCAATGATGAATGTAACTGTATTGTATACCTAGATTGTACAATAAACTCAATTAAAAAAAAAGAAAATGTAAGTGGTACAATCAACAAGTATATATTTATCATTTAATAAAACCAAGGAGCTTACAAAAAAAAAAAAAAACCCAGCTTGGGCAAATGAGCCCTCTCAAAATTAAAAAAAAAAAAAAAAAAAAAAAAAAAAAAAGAGGGGAGGCTGGCTAGATAACCAGAAGGCCTGAGGTTCAATACCCATTGTGAAGAAAGAAGGGTGGGGGGCCTGCAGCATGCAGCCAGCATCCTAGGAGGCAGAAATGCTGAGATGTCAGCTATTTCCATTCCCTCTCATCAACAAGAAAAAAACGATCTTATCTTGAAACAAGAGTTCAGTGAGGCCCCAGAGTCCAAGTGTCCAAGAAAGCTGCACTGGTCCAACTAATCGAGTGAGGATGTGAGACAACCAGGATAGAGGCCGAAAGGCCATGGGGTTTACAATCTCAGAAATCATTTTTAGCTTTATACCTGTCATGGCCAGCTGGGAAGATGTATCCCTGGACAGGCCAGCTTGAAAGATGAAGAGCTGAGGGGTGAACATGCCTGAACAGATAGCTAAGAATAACCTGAACTCAGAGATGACCAAAGAGCCACGGATAAAAAAAATCAGAGCACAACCAGACCCAGGCTCCCAGCTCCACCCCGCCC